AGGTGGTTAGGGCGCTCGACTGGTAATCTGAGGGTCGCGGGTCTGAATCCCCGTCACACCAAACATGCTAACCTTCGCCTTTGCCTGGTCCCAAGTCCAGGATGAGAAAGGGGGAGGGTTGGGCGCAGGGCTAGCAACTACACCCCGTAAAAACAAACCTGCTACAAGTAACTACAACAACACCTTCCGTTGGCGAGGTGTTGATGCGGCCCTATGCTCCACTGGGAGTTTACAGGAATTAAAAAAAGAAGAAAAAAAGGAATATTTCAATTTTAAGTACGTGAAATAATCGGCTGTACTCCTATATAAACACCATTACTACCGGCAGCGCCAAGATAAGCCTAGCAAAGTGTGCAGGTGACATCTCAGGCTCGAGTAGTTGTAACAGTTGGTTGTGCTCCTTTATAGCTTCCAGACTTACAGGTAGCTCAATCATACGTCTGGAGGGTATGTAGAAAACATCTCGATCTAAAATATTTGGAACAAATTGATGTACTATTTTATAAATACCATTGCTAATGCAATACTATCATAACTCTAGAAAGATATGTAGGAAACATCTCGATGTAAAATATTGGAAGCAATTTACTCTGCTCTTTTATAAACACCAGGCATACTGGCAGTGCTATCATAAGTCTGGAATACCTACCATATTGATATATGTAATTCTCATTTAGTGTTATTGGATTTTCCTTTGCAATAACATTACCAGTGTTGTTGTACACTACCTTGAACCCCCTCCCATTGACTAATATATTTAAACTAGCTTTGATAATTAAATTATTTTAAGTTTAAATTTTGTGGAATTGTTTCATATCACTCATATTTAGCACACGCATATATATATTGTTACGACAGCGGAAGTCACGTGACGCTGGAAGAGTGCGCGTTGGAGTTTCTGGAAGGATCATGAATTATCGAGGAGGCCCGAGTTTGTTCGAGGCGCCCTCTTTTTTTAGTATATAAGCATGGCGAGATAAACCAGCGCAATTGCATAGATAGATAGATCGAAGAGATATATATAGAGATAGATAACTGAGTCAAGCAAACGGTAGTGACGGTAATATAAAGTGTGTTTTGTTATCGAGATTGCAAACGTATTGACTGTGAAAATTCTGTGTATTACTAAAAGTTGTATCGAGAAAGAATAAACTAGTTTTAATTAAGAAAGGACTTGTATCGCCGAAGTTACTCGGAAAGAATTTATACCGGAAATTAACAAACTAGCAGATACGCAACAATATTGTAGTCCACATTGGTGCTTAACGAAGTGATGGTTTAAGATGTTATTATTCCATACCGTACCAGCTAGACTGTCGTCAAACTAGCATGTGTATCTTGAAGTTCTGCAACTCATGGTGTCTATGACAGCTACAGACAATGTTTACTTAATTAATTAACATGATTGAAACACCATTCACATGCACACACACACACACACGTGTAAACACATTATTCACAAACAGTTTTTATGAACCGGATATTTCCGCAAAGCTACATACGAGCTATCTGCACTTGCCATCCCATATATTGAACGAGTCAACAGCACCCTCCGCCAACTCTTTGGCTACTCTTGAAAAGTGGGTTTTGATGTCCCCTGTGTAATGCACCCATGGCTCAAAAGTGTGGAGCGCGATTTATTTTGTATATTTGTTTCGATAACTGGACGAAAATGATTAACCTTACATCTGTTAATGATTGAAAATTATTGTTACGTCTCCGTTCGTTACTTGATTTTCCATAAATTC